AAATGTTTGTACTTTGGTGCAGCAATGTCATAATACTCACATTTTATACCCCATTAAATTCACAGTTTCCAGTGTACCGGTGGGTTCATGGTTTACATTCCGATGCCACATGAACGTGTTCCGCACTTTGGGGTTGTACGGCGTGTGCTATGAGAGTAGCCTAAGCGTTCACAAAGGGTGATGTTGACTAGCTGCCTTCTTTCTAGTCTAATCGGTACAAAATTACTTAGGGAAAGCTGTTCTCAGATAACTCTTGTGTAGCTTTGTTTCTAAAGAACAACAAATAGAACCACAGACACTCTTTTCATAGTTCTTTTTCACTACTGTGTATCTAAATAGAAAATATGATGGGATAAACCTGTCAATATGGTTAACACTGACATTTTGTTCAATAATCGTTAGAAAACATATGAGTATGTCATGAAAAATAAGTAATTTGGCAAATATCAATAACTGTAAAATTTTCCTTTGACCGTAATCAGTTCTAATAAACATATATACATATAAATATATACCAACAGCAAAAAGAGATTCGAAATAATTCTCAAAAGTAATTTACATTGGAATTTCTACACTGATTATAGTCAGATATAACATAAATATGTCGGGAAGAAAAAGAGATTTCAAATGATACTTTATTGATTGTATATACAGATATGTTGGGAAGGTAATGTGTTTGTACACTGCCATTTCTTCTTTGATTATATAGATATGTTGAAAAGATAATGTGTCTCTATAGTAGTATTTCTTCTTTGAGTGTGTAGATATAAATTAGGAAGATAATCTGGGTTTACAATGGTATTTAGTTTTTTATTGTAGTTATATGATTTATGGCTATATCGTCAAGAAAAATAGATTTGATAAGGACATATCCACTATTAAACAATAACAATTATTTAATTTTATTTAGGTGACGTATGGATAAGTCATGAATAAGGAGAATGATATGACATTGCTGTCAACTTTACACAGGCAGACAAGGAAGAGAAAAGATGTTTTCAAAAGATCAGCACCCCAGTGGTACAGCGATATGTCTGCGGACTTACAACGCTAGAAATCGGGTTTCCATACCCGTGGTGGGCAGAATACAGATAGCCCATTGTGTAGCAGAAAGCTACATACAAATCAAAAGACCATGACCAATAAGTTACAATAAATAGTTTTTCGTTAACTATAAATATGTTGGTAAGAAATATTGATTTTATACCATCCTAAACAAATGCCATAAACAGATTTTTTTTGTGGACAGTAACTCGTGACATAAGGTTTCTGTAGGAAAAAATACCTGCATAATTTATCAGGTGTAGAATACATTGTAAAGATTTATTTGGTTTTATACATATGACAGTTAAATTTCTCAGAACTGGTTGCAGACGGTGAATGTACATTGTAAAGAGTTCTTTGGTTTTATGCATATGACAGTTAACTTTTTCAGAAATGGTTGCAGACGGTGAATGTACATTGTAAAGAGTTCTTTGGTTTTATACATATGACAGTTAACTTTTTCAGAACTGGTTGCAGACGGTGAATGTACATTGTAAAGATTTCTTTGGTTTTATACATATGACAGTTAACTTTTTCAGAACTGGTTGCAGACGGTGAATGTACATTGTAAAGATTTCTTTGGTTTTATACATATGACAGTTAACTTTCTCAGAACTGGTTGCAGACGGTGAATGGCAATTTTAGATGAGGAATGTAGTGGGATAAAACTTCCATTCCTTCAGTAATATCTTATTTTATTTTTATATGTGAGTCTTGTAAATAAAGGTTAAATCTTATAGATGGTTTATCACTGTCGCTGTTGTGATCCTACTTCACAAATATCTCTGTTACTAAGACACATTTTACTATTCACATACAATAATTTTTACCTCGTCCCTTACGAGTAATTTGTTTTTGGCTTGTTTGACTTTAAAAAATGACACCGAAGATCGAGTTTTAACTATATATGTTTATTAACTTATATATCCAGTTCATAATTTGTTTATATGTTTATTGTCCAATATATTCAGTTCATGATTAGTATATATATATATATATATATATTATTTTTTAACCAGTTCATGATTTACATATATGATTATTAACTTATATATCCAGATCATGATTTCTATTCATGTTTATTAACTTATATATCCAGTTCATGATTTCTATTCATGTTTATTAACTTATATATCCAGTTCATGATTTTTATACATGTTTATTAACTTATATATCCAGTTCATGATTTCTATTCATGTTTATTAACTTATATATCCAGTTCATGATTTGTGTGTACATGTTTATTAATTTATATATCTAATTTTATATTTTTTCTTCTCAGGCTGTGAGATATAGTACCAAATCGAATGATTTTGTACATTACAGTTCTTCTTGAAATGATACCCAATCGAATGACTTTATATATTTCACTTCTTGTTCTTCATCACTCTTTTGGTAAGTGCAGCGGTGTTCATGTTAGAAATATTTATCGGCCTGCCAATCGTTCTACAAACAGTAAATCAGGAAAGTGCTCACATTTTGTTAGGGAGGGTAAGTTACTGTGCTATCACTTTCTTAATGTAACCTGTTACGAAGACGGATGAATGACATCAAACTGGTGAAATACTTCACCTCAAATTGTCTTTACGTGCGAACCCAGTGAACTGGGTTGTTCAATCTTCACTACGAACTGTGCCTTTTAAAGAATAATTTCACAAACGTTTAAGCCAACTCAATTCTCAAGTAATTAATAATTCTACTGTCTTTTCTATTCTGAAAAGTTTGGAATCACCTTCTGATTTCATATCTTATAAGAATAATATATATGTGGAACATGGGACTAGGCTTTTAGTAAATTGGACAAAACAAATGTGGGTATGAGCATGATAGCTTTGATTTTTTTAAACAGATTTCAAGTTGAAGACGACTTCTCTCTCTCTAATACAGAGTTCTTTACGAGGCAATAGTTCGGAGCTAGATTACAAGGATAACTAAGCCTTTGTTATTTATAATGTATTGAGATAAACAGAAACGTTCTACAGTGTTTATGGAAGATCTATTTTATTACGGGACACAAAATAATGAAGATATATTAAGTGTCACTAAACTTATATCACACTGTGTATTGACGGATTCAAGGCCAATGAAAAAATAAATATTATTTTACATGATATAAAAGTTTCAACTAATAACATTGTTACGGTAATTTGAAATTTAATGTGACAATGTTAAATGTCAAACATAAGAATATTGTGAATTTTAGTGACACATAAATGAAACAACAGAAAGTAGTATATGGGAAATTAATGAGATATGCGTCACTTCTCTTCATGTGACACCAGGTACTATTGATACCCTAAAAACAGAGGAATAGTCGAAGATATCCCACGACCTTAGTAATATTTTGTTTTTAAACAATTTCAGTGCCAGGCTGCTCCTGCTGGTCATGGTGACTACACGTTCTGTAATGATGTCAAATGTCATGAACCCTAACAAATGTTCATTTAGAGATGAGCTATGAGATTAGGTTCTAGCATTTCAGATCATGTTCATTTAGAGATGAGCTATGAGATTAGGTTCTTGCATTTGAGATCATGTTCATTTAGAGATGAGCTATGAGATTAGGTTCTAGCATTTCAGATCATGTTCATTTAGAGATGAGCTATGAGATTAGGTTCTTGCATTTCAGATCATATGATACACTTGCATAAGATTAATTCGCTATACAACTGGCATAATTTAAAAACTGAGGTTTTCATTATCTTACTTAAGATGTATAGATCCTAATTTTCGCTTAATTGTTTTGTGCAGTATAATTAGCTCATAGTTAAGAAGGCAATCGTAAAGTGAGCGTGTTTTTTATGCTTCATCAGGTTTTGGATTACATGCTAATTATATCAGTTTCTTATATATCACCTACAAAACACAATCGGTTAAGTCATTTATTAACAGGCCTCACTCCTTGTAAAACTGATTGGTAACAATCTATTTCATTGTAAGAAAAAAAAGAAAAGATGTTTTACGTGTAAATCTAACTAATAATACATGTATAAATTACTAATAAACTTTTTACTTTTAATGCTAATTAGTAATTACATATTTTATTAGTGCAATCTGATTGATAATAACATACTGATATTTTTACTGGTAAAGATAAACATATTTGTACTTATTGTTACAACTGAGTTGCGGCATCTTTTAACATTTAAAGTTCATATAAGGAGAAGAAAAAAGTGTGAAGCTATATAAATATTTTCCCTGAAACAATAATAAAACATACGAACCGCTCAGTTCGTCCACATGATTTCTTAATTTTCAAAGTACGTATGAATTCATTGTGTTATTGTAAAGGAGCAAAAATGTGCATATTTTTGTTTTATAATTTCAAAATTTTTATTTTGTGTTATTTTAACATGTATTAAAACATTGCTTTAAAAAGATGTTGTTTAATATGAATTAAATGGAAAATATCAGACTTTTCCACAAGCCACTTCTTACACATAACTGGAATATGCCTTGGTGAATTAAGTATCTAATTCTAAATTACTCCCATATTTTATGTTTAACATTAGGTAATTTTATTGTTAACTTAGGAAAGGTTTTAAAAGGTCAATCTAAAACACATATAACCAATACCCATTTAGATTAAACGCAGTTAAGCCAGAATATAAAGTTTTGAATTGTAATTTTAAAAGATAACAAAAGGTTCACAGGATTTGATATTATTTGGCATTCTTTGAAAGAGATGGTGTACAGACCATAATGCGATACATAACATGAGATTCTATTAGTACATAAATTATATTCTTAGCAGGAAGCTTTAAACTTCCCATAGCGTTTCTATCTTATCACATGCTCTATTAACTTACTTATCTTGAAATCGTAATAAAAATGATATTATATTTTTAAAGAAATCAGAATTCAGAGCATGCACCTACCACACTTGAGCGCCATCTCGTAGTAGCTGAAGTAAATATAAAACCTGCTTCCGCACGATACTCTCATCACAAGTTCGCTTTCTCGCGGTTACGACACAGGCTTGTGCTGTAGGTGTGGTAACAGAGACTTTCACTGGCTGCAATGTTTTGCTTTCTCTTGGTGTTGTTGTTAGCGTGTGGAACCGTGAAGAGCACTCTGATAGAAGAGAACCGACATTCTCTCCATATTGATGAGGACACCAGGAATGATCTGCTCAAGTTTGTGGTGACCAACATCGAGAAGCTAAAGGTAGAACACGAAGAACTGGACGAATGCCACGGTTTAGAAATCGTCAGTTTACTACGCATAGAAAAAGAGGTAGAGTTATTTAGTCATTCATTAGAACCTATGCAAACAAACTCGAGAATCTATGAAATTTTGATAAATATATTTAAAAGTAATATTAATACAATTAGCTAGATGCTTCGCGTTCAACACACGAAATAAATATCACACTGTGTTAATATAGTCGTGGTGCAACTTACCCTTCTTATCATTCGTACTTTATGTTGCGAAATGTTCAGGTTTTTCTAGCAACATTAAGTTTATACTCCATTAACTGGTCACACGTTGATTTATGTATTAAGTAATAAGTACAAGATAATAATTTATCCTTTGCCGTCTAAGTTGCATACGAAATTAACGCATATGAAGTTCCTTCCTACTCTTAGTATAGATTTTACTATAGTAATGTAAGTATAATATCATTCTGCTCTTCACGTCGCTTCAACTTGAAACAATGCGGGTACTACTATTCCCACTTTTACATCTGTTCGTTTTCAAACAATAAATGTACTACTATTCCCACTTTTACATTTGTTCATTTTCAAACAATATATGTATTATTATTCCCCCTTTTACATCTGTTCATTTTCAAATAATAAATATACTACCATTCCCATTTTTACATCTGTTCGTTTTCAAACAATAAATGTACTACCATTCCCACTTTTACATTTATTCATTTTCAAGCAATAAATATATTTTCATTTCCCCCTTTTACATCTGTTCATTTTCAAATAATTAATGTACTACTATTCCCACTTTTACATCTGTTTATTTTCAAACAATAAATGTGCTACTATTCCCACTTTTTACATCTGTTTATTTTCAAACAATAAATGTGCTACTATTCCCACTTTTTACATCTGTTCATTTTCAAACAATAAATGTACTACTATTCCCACTTTTACATTTATTC